CCACACCAAGCGAGTGATAGTGTGAAGGTCAAGCAAGACGTTTGGGACGTAAGAGAGTACCGCAAAAGCGAAAACAGCCAGTTTCTGCCCTAAACAGTGCGAATTCGAACCATTCGATGAAGGCTATTCGGACGCATGATCAGGTTGCGATCCATGCACGGCCCTAGCGATAGCCATGCTTAGCGGAAACACGAGGCACATACCGTTGACGCGTATGACCGCCAGGGCATCGTTGGATGGTGGACCCTCGTCTGCCGTGCTGATCAGTTGGATTTGCATGCTCTCGTAGGTCCGCCTAGAACCAAGCTTAATGCTGACATGACTTGCAATTAATTGTCTTCAACAGCAACTGTTGCAGTCTACAACTTAGCTATCAGTAGCGCCATATGCAACGCTTGTCTCGATTTCCTGGTGTCAATCGGCATACCCTATATCACCTAGGAGATCTGCCCCGCAAGAACGATCCAGCCTTGAACCGATCTCCTGGAGGTTGGAGCGACGAACTACTGGGTTTGCCCTTTAGGGCCAAGTGAAGAGATTGCTGGGCTACGTCTCAGGTTCTCGGCAAGAACAACACGACCATGTCAGGCGAGATAGTGCGAGATGGGTGACATGTCAGCGTGCCTTAGCCGATGATAGATGCGACAACACCGGCTGAGAGGTCACCGTTGACTTTTGGCATGCATTTGTCGAGCGCCATTCAAAGGGAACTTGGAACCGCATGACGAAGGCGCTCAAGGCGTGGCCGCTTGGGCCGAGATGGTGTCGAAAGGAGGCTGAGAGGATCAGCGGGAAGTCGTTCCAGGGCTCCGTCATTGGGCAGGATGATGACTAAAGCCACGCTACCCCTTAGCATGCCAACGGATACGCCTCTCCCATGATGCCCTCGTATCCAGCTCGATTGACCTTGGAGGCTAGCCGGACTTCCCTGCTACTGTCACCGAATCAGGCTGCACTGCCATGCCAATCTAATAATTAGGGTGGGCGATCGTCACGCGGCGCCCGCAGTTGTTGGAGTGGGTTCTTGGAGCAAAACGCCCATGAACCGCTCTGGCCTTGAAAGCTTCCGATGGCCCTGGAACCGCATTCCCGGTAGCTGAGCTGACTCAAGCCGGCATACCAAGTCCTCCGAAAGACAACTCCGCTATGTGTTGCACGCTTCGCACCCTCTAAGTCGTCGACCGATCGCTGCCAGGTCCATGTAGGGACGCCTCACAGCCCTCACTACCATTCGCTCGCTACACCATGCGCCTCACACCGCGCGCTACCGAGGCCCCGGAGCCGTATGTTGTGCCACCTTCGAATAGGTTCGACGGTGCCGATGGGAGTTGGAGCACCTTCAAGATAAGCGTTGGAACGCCAGGACAAGACTTTCGTGTACTGCCCAGCACGAAGGGAGGTGTCACATACGTCATTGCGCCCGAAGGTTGTTTGGAGGGAGTCGACCCTACAGATTGCCCACAACTCCGAGGGATAGAGGTCTTCCAAAGCGCGCAAAGCACCGGCTTCCAGGTCGACGCGTCGACAACCTGGTCGGCGATCGGGCAATACGACGTTGATTTGGAGGATGCGCTCAACTACACAGGGAGAGGATTGTTTGGCCTGGATACCGTCACTCTAGGAGCAGCTGCGGACAGTAGCTCTTCTGTTTCGTTAACGCGACAGGTCGTTGCTGCCATTGCCGACCCGGACTATTATCTAGGAGTTCTGGGCCTAGGTCAGGCAAAGTCCAGCTTCAACAGTGGGAGCCAGCCGGTTGACTCGTTCCTCTACCTATTGCGCGAAAGCAAGAAGATCCCCAGTTTTGCATATGCGTATACGGCAGGCGCGAAGTACAGATTGAAATCTGTATTCGGTAGTCTGATATTGGGCGGCTACGATGCGACACGGTTCGAGACTGGCGCGAACGATTTTTCGTTCACCTTCTCACAAGACCCCTCCCGGCTCCTAACCGTTGGAGTAGACTCGATCATGGCTACAAACACGCTGCAGGGCACCTACTCCTTGACTTCTGGAGCACACTTCTCTGTCATTGATTCTACTGTCCCGCATCTGTGGCTACCCGCGGACGTGTGTGCTGAGTTCGAGACAGCCTTTGGCCTGACTTATGATCCTCAAACAGATTTGTACCTTGTCAACGACACGATCCACGAAGAACTCCTATCCAAGAACCCGACCCTCACGTTCAAGCTCGTCGACTCCCTCGAAGACACGACTACAAACTACACCAATATAGAGCTGCCGTATGCGGCATTCGACCTCCAAGCCTCGTACCCGTACTACACAAACGCAACGAACTACTTCCCGATCCGCCGCGCCGCGAACGATACACAATATGCACTAGGCAGGACGCTATTGCAAGAGGCCTATCTCATAGTAGACTATGAGCGCGCGAACTTTACTATTGCGCAGGCAGTCTTTCCTGATCCTCTGCCCGCATCAGACGTCATGACCATCAAATCTCCGAGTGATGCTACTGCCACGCCAGCTTCCTCTTCATCCTCAGGTCTCGGCGTAGGTGCCATTGTCGGCATAGTAATTGGTGCAATCGCCGCTCTCGCCCTGGTCGCGCTTGGTATATTTTTCTTCCGGAAGCGTCGCGGCAAGCAGCAAAAAGAGCAACGATACGAACTCGCAAGCAAGCACATATCAGAAGTTGGTTCAGGCACCGACATTCTCGCTGGCAGCCAGCCGCACAAAGCTGTGGGCCCGCAGGAACTCCACGGGACACCGTTGACTGAGCTTGCCTCTCCTGTCAATGAGCAATTCGTCGGTCATGCGTATCCGCAGGATCAGAAGACGGTTATCAGCATGGCAGATGAGCCACAAGAGCTGCACGGCGAGTCAATGATGCCAGTCACACCTAGATGGCGAGAGGTACAGCTGCCGCAATACCCTGGCCCACGCGAAGCGGATGCCGAGAGTAGCACAGGGCGCAGTGTGAGCGGCATAGCTAGCGATGACGGATACGCGACAGGCGAGTTTGGAGTACGCTCTGGCGTATCACCAATGACACCTCAATTTCCACAACATAAATATTAATGGTCAGCATTGGACACTGGGCGGCGGTCATACTAAGGCGTTTGGATTTGGCGTACATCTAGAGATACCACTCGTGGATTGGGAATGAGCGGGACTTTGGTTACGAGTACACGAAACCGAATATAATAATAATTTTTTTCAGAGGCATGCGATTCAGCCACCGATAACATTGCACGCGCCAACTACGACATCTGAATTTCTTCAACAAACGATGCCGTTGCCGTTTGATACTCGGAGAAGCTTCCAAGGGCTCTGAGAGTGCACAAGCAAATTGATGCTGGTTCCTACAGACTGAAATCACTTGCCAAGAGTTACCGGGTGATCGGCTCGTAGGGCTGAAGGACATGCATTATCATGACAAGGGTAGCAACACAAAGTTGGAACTGTGGGCTACTGACGAGCTCCATCCGGGAAGTGGAGACGTCGACCATGATGAAATTGATGTATGTGGTCCCAGCTGCGTACCTGCTTCGTTTTTTATGCAAGGACGTCTGTGGAAGTCTACGACTGGAGTATCGCACACTGTAATCATGTAGATGGCTCCTGGCCATTCTAAGAGCTAATTCTCGAAAGTCGAATACGAGACGCAGGGACAATAATGCTAGAGCCATAATTATCACCTGCAGCGTCCCAGGGTACCCGCAACGCGTTCCGCTCGTGAGGCTGATGTCAGACACCACGTAGGCAGATGCAGCCCAAGCATAAGGAGAAGAACGACCAAATCCCAAGCCACTACAAGGCGTTCGCTGCATAACCTGGAAATGAAGTGCATGGATCGCGCCTGACTAGATCCACCTCCAACAGGGCAGCTGGCAGCTGGACTATGTTGAAGCTATGACGTAGGTGACACGCATGGCTGAAGCTACCATCACCCCTCATCCCCGCGCGCCTCCTCCGACCTAGACAACACACCAAACACCTTACTCCTGCCTCTGCTATTCCTCCACGTCAACAATACACACGTACCCCGACACCCCAGACCACAACCTAAAACAGTCAATTGAAAATGGACAAGATCAAGGAGAAGCTCCACCTTGGCAGCAGCAAGAACAAGACGGCTGAGGACGATGTCCGCGCTGGTAATGTCGGCACTATCGAGGGTAAGTCAAGCCTCCGAACTCTCAACCATGCTCTATCCAAGCGAACATACACATATCTCTTGCGACCAATCCAACATCGCGCCTTCCCGACTTCTCAACCTCAGCCTCACCCCAACCCACAACTGACCCACTCCACCAGAGAACCGCGACTCAATCGACTCTGAACTGGCCTCGATGCCCCCCTCAGAGCGCGTCGCCTACCTAAAAGAATTCGAAGACTCAGACAAGCACGACACGCCCAAGAAGGGCGGGCTCCTCGAGAAGCTCATCGCCCGAGGCAACAAGAAGACCGAAGACCAAATCGCCTCCGAGACCAAGGAGCGCGAGGCCCGCGAAGCAGCCCACCGCGAAGCGACACATGCGTCTCTGGGCCCCGGCGCCGGAGCCAGCGCGCACTCGGCTGCCGGACCCGGTGGATTGTAAGCGACACGGACGAAACAAAGGGAGCATGAATGATGGATTGTGAGCGACCAGCATAAAGGTCCCGGGCGAGTGTGGTCGGGCTTCGTGGACACACTTTCTGCCTGATTCGATTCGATTGTGAAGAAGGCTTTCTTGGCGATGGACTGCGATTACATCTACATACACTTTTCGAGACATGATGACTTCAATGATATGGTTATGAGCTGAGTTGTGATTTCATGGCTTGTGCAGTGAGTTAGGCTGTGTGATATGTATCCCGTCTTGCTTCCTCCATATGTCTGTGACATCGTCTATAATGGCTAACGGTCAACAACGCGCGCTCCATTACAGACCACTGATTCTTCGTCGCTGACATCCACACTTTATACAAGCAAAAAGTTAAACAGGTCTGCAGATTACATCAAATCAAAAACCTGCAAAGCAAGTGACCCAACGTCAACGTAGGCTCTGGGGTGAGGTTGGCGTGTCCAGGTCTGCGTCGAATCCACTGCTGTCGTATGGGGCTGGGTGTGAAGGTGATTCTGGGTTAGAACACCGCACACATGAAAATACGTACACGGTGTGGGGTGGCTGTACGGGTGGTGGGGGAGGAGGGTATATGGAGGCATTTTGGTTGATGTCTTCCTCTTCAGTCGGCGTGACAGGAATCATATCCTCCTCCTTTCCTTGCTCTTTCTCCTCTTCTACTTCTTTCCCTTTCACATCACCATCCTTTTGTCGCTGACGTTGCTCCCATCGCTCAATAGCTAGATTCGCTCCAGCCAGCACACCTCGACCGATGATGCGAAGTTCATTGCGGTACAGGTATACCGTTCCCGCTAGAACGAGCGCTTTAGCCCATCCACCTGTGAACCAGGTTGAGGCGCCCGGTTCCACGTAGATCTTGCCATTGAAGCCTTTGTTCTTCAGCTCAATGTTTAGTGCTGAATTGCACTTTAAAGTGCCGTTTGGGCGGAAGAAACTAGCATAGCATATATGTGTTAGTGATGTTCTAATTGGTAGGTGAGGGAGCAAGGGGAATGTACACTTGGCCGTCTTCGTTCTCGATCTTGAGACTGATGCCCTCTTTGACAGTTTGAGCCCTAATGCCTTCGCTTATGCTATCTCTTATTGTGTTTTGCAGTTTCCTCAAATCGCTTTCACGCTGTAGTTTCTTGGTTTGGTCTTTCAGATCTTGCATGGAAGATGTCTTCCAACCGACCGTATTGTAAAGGGAGGTCATTTTGAGTAAGGCAAGTATTGGTGTTTCTTCGAAGTTTGTAACCAATAAACAAAGGCGAGGACAGTTTAAATATTTAAAGTGATGGAAGGGGAAGCAGAAGGTATTTTTCGTTGCGTCAAACATGGTTGTGCTGTAGGCGAGGGTCTTTGGTTCTACCTACGGGGTGTCGCCTATAATAAATAAGACGACATAGGCACGTAAATGAATATGGATAGATGAAATTACTGTCGACCATAGGCCCTGTGTCCTAGAACCCTGACTTGCTCAAGTGACGAGCTGGTATACTACAAGTGCTTTCCAACATGCTCCCTTTTTCCTTCCCAATATCCAATATGTATGCCATGTACCCCTAGTCATGTACAAAATGTTAGAATGGCTCCTGAGGGTAAGCGGCTGATGAGAAGCTGGGTAGCGAGATGCGGAGGACCAGTGCTCTGTCCCAGTTGTTGCGTTGTGGTTCAGCGTGGAGCTGGTGGTAATGGATGCCATTTGTATGGCCAACTTCACACAGGAAGACCCTGTTCATCAGGTGCCTCGGGCGCCCCGCTCACAGCCCCGTAAACCCGTATCGGTACCTGCACTTCAAAGCTCTCGGCAGGCAATCGTTGCGCCGCTGCTAATATGACACCTCGATCGTCGCTAGATATCTCTTCCAAGAGATCATCCCATGAGGTCTCCTCCCCGTCCTCATGCGTGAGTCGCGGAGTGATGAACTCGATTCTGAGCTTCCACTCAAGACTGACGCCGCTGGTAATAAACTCCGGTGTCGCATTGGGTGGTATCGTCGGCGAGAAGGCGAGCTTTTGCGCAAACAGTGCATTCTCTGAAAATGATGCGTGCACTTTCTTTGTGACGCGATATATCGAAGCATTGGAGCGAAGTGCTATCGCCGGATCGACCTTCTCTGAAGTTTCCAGTGAAATCTGTATTGAGTAGCAGGGAATGCGAGAATCTGTGAAGTCGATTACGGCAGACATTGTTTCGCCTAACCGGTAGGAGGGCCGCGCCAACATGATGACCGCGACACGGCGGCCGCTGCGAGCAATCTCAAAGCGATTGGCGCTCTGATTGGCAGCGCCTGTCAAGTTGCTGCGCAAGATGGCTGTATCAATAGCCTCCTTCATGGTCTGGGGCCCTTCGGCAATCGTTGAGCGCCCGGGCATTGTGCCCGTAGGTGAAAGCAAGCCCATGCTAGAATTGTGCCTGGGCCGATCGAGAAGATTGTCGACATACTCTAGGAAGTCGCTGAAAGTGTTCTCTTCCGTCTTGCTCGAAGAGGCGCCCTTCTTTGTAGGGGAAAGCTTTGCGCTCGACGAGGGGTCTATGCTGGCTGTTCGAGCTTGATCGCGCAATATGATGTACGGCGACATTAGGTCATGTCCAAGAATCTCGCCACGACCTGCAAAGGATTAGCATACCCACACGTGTATACTCGGACCAAACATACTGTTCACACTGCCAAACACCCGAAACGGAACGTCCACATGCTTCACTTGTTGTTCTTTGGTCGATCCCGCGCGTTGTGTGCCAATGATGAGATTGTATGCTACCTTCATCGACCGCCCCTTATGCGAAGGTGGCAGACCTCGGGGTATTGTAAAGCTGTACGTGTAGCTGCGGCTTTCGCCAGGCGCAAGCCGCAAATCGACGAACAGAATGGACTGGGGAGTAGTGATGAGCGGGACAGTCTTGGAGCTGGCAACGCCTCGCATCTCTCGGATGCTGGAGGGCTCGGAAGCGCCCAGTAGCCCACCCAGCGACTCTCCTATGTTACCCCAACCGAGCGCGCCAAAGAGCCCACTCTCGCGCTTTGTCTTCTCTACACCCACTACACCACCTCCACCCTGGCCGCCTACTACTCCCTTCCTCTTTACCTCTTCGAAAGGTGCCTGGTTGATCAAGGATCCGTCCAGCGTGAAGGAACCCATTATCTGCGCATAGCCCATCATTATCGACTCCGGGAGAGCCTGCCTATTGGGCGGTGCCAAGTGTGAGGGTCGCCGATGATGCATCGGCCGCTGTAGTAGACGCGCTGAGGGATGAGCCGCATATTCCGAAGCCAATGTCTCGTTGGAGTTGTTGCTCATCGAGTAGAACTCTCCACTACTACGCGGGGTGTCATTCATGCTCGACCCAGATATTATCCGCGCAACAGGTGAAAGCACCTCGAGATTGTGGCTTCCAGATGACCGTAGGTAGTCATGTGGCGGTTGTGGGGAGTTGCGCCGGACGTGTATGGGTTGCTTTGTAGGACTGCTACCAGGCTGCGGATGGGTGGCATCATCGGGCGGAGGTGCGGCAGGGAACTTGAAGTTCTGGGAGAAGGAATTGGACGGTTTTCGCCCTGTAGTCGGAAGGGCTGGGGTACTCGGGGTGGTCGTGACACCAGGCCGTCTCCTGTTCTGACGCGCGGGAAAGGCAAAGTCGTTGGTGTCGCGGGCTAGCGGAGAGGAAGCTTCGCCAGATAGTGGAGATGGATGAGTCGCTGATCTGTGACCTGGTGAAGCAACTGCTATCATGTCAGCCAATGACGTATAGTGTATCTGTTGTCCGTACTTGGATATGAGTTTGGCCTGCCAGGCACAACCTGCAGACTGGCTGATCTTCCGTGCCCTCTTGTTGGGCGTCTGATGGGTATGCCCCTCTCGTGGCTGGCTTCAGTTCCCGCATCTGCCCCTAAAGAGACAATTGACACGGATCTTCCATGCTTGTGTGTGCCCGTGTTGTTGGCATGGATGATGCTCGGCGCAACAGACGATCGGCGGTCTCCAGCTGTCGATGGTGTATGCAGTGATAAGGCAGGACGATGTCCGCGAAGCTGTGACGGCGGCAGCTGCGAAGCAAAGGACGAATTGCGGGATACCGAGGGGCGCGTCGAAGAGTGGACGGGCGGTAGTTTGCGCTGTCTCTCCCCGCCCGTCGCAAAGCCGTTCTGCCTCCGGACCGGGGAGCGGTCGCGTCCCTCAGGCGGGGCGACATTCTTGAAGGTAATGGTGCATTCTATGTCTTCGCCGGCGAACACGGTAGAGTCCTTCCATTGTACGAATACCCGGATGTTCGACGCGGACATGGTAGGGAGGCTGGGCGGCGCGGGCTGCGGGTTCGTAGGCAGCTCATCGGGTACGGCGGTCAATCGGCATGGCGACTGCTAATAATTGGCCCCCAAGACAGCTGAAATAGCAGCAAACTCCAGTTGAGGGTTGGTGACGATGGCGGACCTCGACTGACAGCTGCGCCGTCATGACAGGGATGTCCACGGTCTAGGCGGCCCGTGCTTCTTGCTTGTACCTGTCCATCGCGTCTTTGTTCAGCCAACCACGACGCTACCTTCTTCACCACCAACATACTACTCACCACCCGAATGAGTGTTATGCAAAAAAGAAGATAATATTGTAATCACTGTAGATACCACCACGCCCAACCCAGCTCTTCTGCCTCGTTACTTATAACAGATGTATCGGTTGCTCCGTTTACGAAGGCATCAACATGTTCCGCCCACACAATGCGTGTCAATACCGGCTTGATAAGGCGCACGATTAGATTACCAACTATACCACGATCGAGCAGTTCGACCAGCACTGCGGGAGTCGAATCTATGACGTCTTCCTGAAGTTCGTTCAAGCATATCATCAGCAGCGGTCCTGAACTACTGTCGTGGTTCGGGAGCTTATCCGAGGCATGCACAAAGATCCATCTATTTCTAGCGGTTCGGAGGTAGAAATCTGCGGGTATTTCGCTCCTGCGATTCGGGTCCACGGCAATACCTGGTGCATTGAACAACAAACCCATGCTTGTTATTTCTGCGCTCCGAGGATGAAGAGCAGGGCTCACGCTTTTCATAAGCGGATACCGCCACTGCAGTAAAGATTTCGGAGCCCATTGAAAGCCTGGCTGAGATAACTTCGGGTGGCCATCGAAAGCGAAATCCAAAGGTACATTTGAGAGCAGTCTCCAGAAAGCTATCATCCTAGCTTGCGGATCGGATGCTGAAATTTGACTTAACCTGTGAGTTTCGAGGCGTAGCAAATTAGCTAAGCACAATGGTTCATCCGAGAGGACACTTGTGTCTCGGTAGCATACGCTATTCGCTAAAGTCGATAACTGTCGCACTTGGTCCGGGGATGGTGCTCGATAAAGCAGATGTTTCACCTGATTGAGAATGGATCGCTGCGCTACCAGCCGTATGCTTGGAATTACGCTCGTCATCAATTTGTCAAGCCCCAGATGCAGGTCGTATGGGCCATTCGAAAATTGGATGAACAACCTCTGGGCAAGGGCGCCTTCTTGGAACGTCCACAAGCGACTAGTCCATCTGCTACACAAGATCCGAGACAAAATCTCAGCGTCGCTAAGAGTGTCCGTCATGCGTATCAACAACGACGAATCTAACACTAAGACGGCTGACGCTCTCTCATATGTAGCCTTCATCTTAGCGATGGCCATCTGCTGTATATTCGAACCATCTTGAACTGGACAACAGATCGTATCCAACCAGAAGGACGAGTATGGACCCAGGTGAGGTGTATGAGGTACATTTCTTACTAGCTCACCCAACTTGCTGAGCTGACAAGACGGTATCGAATTTTCGTGAGGGTTGCCTAGTCCGTCCGACCAAACGTGCGAGATGGCAACATATGGTATCCGAGCAGTTGCTGCACCTGGCCTGTCAACAGGACTCAAGCACATCGTGCCCTCGGACGTGATGGGCCCATACATATCAATGACTGGGTAAGAATCTGTTTCCAAAATCACACTCATCTTCTCGACGTTTGCAGCCACAAAGGAGCATCCAGTGCAGCCTGCTGCATGTTGAGTCTGGTAATCAGCATTGTCAATGCACGTAAAGCGACAGGCCTCAGATGTGCAAAGCCAATGGTTAAGGGTGTCTGGTCTCTGCATATTCGCGACATGGACCAAATCCGTCATCGTCATCCGTGAGCCACACTCTCGTACCCGATATGGACACCAACCACTATTCAGCATTCTTCTTTGGTTGATTTCCCCCGGGTTGTACATGGCGGGCAAATATTCGCAGTTGTTTCTGTCATTTCCTGCCGAGTTCGGCCATTGTTGAACTACCAACGCGGGTGGGAAGTTTTCGCGAATGGCAGTGACAAAGTCATGAAGTAACCAGATCGAATCAATGATATCGGAAGGAAGCGGATCAGTGAAGTTGAAGGTGATCATGAACTGGTACAAAGATATTCTCCTCGAGCTGCTTTCGGTCGTCCACGTTTCGCACGAAATCTTGGGGTTAACAGTGGTCTCCAGTTTACGAAACAGTCTAGTCGACCGGTTCAGACGCGATATAAAGTCTGCATCCGGACTTTCGTAGCCCCCTACAGTCGCTCTAATATGACCATCAGTCCGAGTGGCCAGATTCGTTGTGTCGACCACCCGTATTCCATCCGCCGTCAGGCTTGTAAGGCTTTGCAAAGTCGCAAACTCCAGTATCGAGCGTATGTATCCGAAGTATCGCCAAAGTTGCATGAAGGCGATGAAATCATCAGTAGGATTGTCGAACAGCGCTTTCCATTGAACAGCAGTCCTTCTAGACCATCCTTGTCGTGTGGGAAAGGTCTCGAGATCCCCTCCGTCGTACTCTTGATCGGTCAGGCAGGGCACTTCGATATAGCCAATCGTCGGGTTCTGGGGTAAGGGTATGTGCTGCATGGTGTTGTTGGTAACTCAGCCGTTGCGGTTGCCTCCCAGATGGAATTGAACGTGCAGCATGATATATACTGGTACCTTGTTTGGCTGACACCAAGCAAGCAGCTTGATAGCACCTGCACGAGATGCGCACAGGCACCTGATAGCGACACCATCTCAACGAATAAAGGAAATGCACAAAGCTTGCGCTGCGAAAACATGCAGCGATATGCAAGTCTGAAGCGTAGTGGGCGCAGATTGCGCTTGATAGTAGGCGCCTTCGGGCGTGCGCTAGGAATATCGTAAGTAGTTGTTGTCAGGACGAGCACGTACACATCGGAGATACGTCATGTAAACAGATCATATTTGTGACTACGAGTGAGAGAGCCACAACAACCGAACACAAGAGAGCAGAACATGAGAACACGCAAACAGCCCCTAGAGCACAGTCCACAATAGATCATCGACTCCCTCATCTCTATTCTTCTGACAGGCCACCACCGCACAGAACATATGCTTACTCGCATTCACACTAATCACCTCAAACATCCCACTCTCCAGCACTTTTCCAAAGTCGACCAGAATGCGCCCAATCGGTCCCCGCGAACTCTTACGCATCGATCTAAAATCGCTACGAATATCCACGTTCTCCCAGATGATATCGACGTCGAAGTCCTCATGCGGAGTGGTATCTGGCGGAGGCGATTCTAACCTAGGGGCAGTGGGGGCATTGGGGGTAGTAGACCCTGTAATTACTGTTAGAGTTATGTTTACAGAGGTCGAAAAGATAAGACAACGAGTGGCTCTGATGGGTAGCAGCAGTGGGCGTGTGGAGGATTGGGAGCGCATACTCGGTGCACTTGCAGTATTCTCTACACTCTGCATTCTGGCAGTCGTACACTCTTTTGCTAGTGCAGCGACAGCCAGCCGAGCCTCCTTCGTAGCAGCGTGGTAGGGTGTTACCTCCGCTGCGGCAAGTGACTTCGTATTTGACAAGCGCTTCAAAGGTTCCGTTATCCGCGCTCTTCTTCTCTGGAGGGGTAGGCGTGGCAGTGATGATTGTGAGAAGAGTTGCTAAGGCAGTCAGGTTCGGGAGGAGCATGCTGTTGCCTACACTATAGCCGGACGAATGAGGGGCTGCAGACAACAAGCACGGGATGATGGCTACAATAACGAAAGGACCAACAGGCTCCTTTTATATTCGAAGCATGCCTCTCAAGCAGAGATGTTGCGGCACAAAACACCGACCTTCTCCTCCCTTGGATAGAGGCTAACCTCCCTCCTCGTGTAGCGGCAAACCCAGTCGGCCGGAATTAGCCAATAAGAGAGCAAGGTCAGCAAGCATTCACGCGAGATACTGTATCTTATATCAAGTCTTCCCGGCCTACTAGGGTTTCCGTCATACAAGTAGGGTAGTTGTGTTGGTCGTCATCCGAGATGCCCACAAGGGTTTCAATTGACTTCACTCAATCAGGACGCAGAAGCTCAAATAGGTCAAGCTTAACCCAACTGCAGTACAACAATCTCAGGAATGCGCAGTGCTGAACTACGCCGCAATATAGAGAAGATAAGAAGATGCTGCGGACACTGCTGTCAGAACTCAACCCGCTTTACGAGCGAATGATGCTGCAGATAGCGGCTCAAGATGCCGAGACTACAGAGTACTGTGAAAACATTCTTCGGTCGATCACGCTTGCCTTCCGGCCGCTGCAGCTGAAAGAGCTCGCCGCAACTGCAGGCCTTCCTAGAGATCAGTTCGGCGACGTGCAAGCAGTCGTCGACCTTGTTAGGCGCTGCGGCTCGTTTCTAACTGTGCGCAAAGGCATAAAGATGCTATCACATATCAAAAATGAGATTGGAGCATTGGGGTTGGTATTGTAGTTCTAGAAACATTAGGGTAGAGCGTCTCATGAGGCAGGTGCAACGGGACGCACGAAGCCAGTCGCGCCTGTCATGCTTAACGCTTCTACCTACAACAACCACGAAATAGGATGCACCTTCGTATCTCGTACCGTACAGCTCAGATAAAGCGGTAAACGTGCCTCTTACTGTGTTTGCTGCCCAGCATTGGCGTTCGCATGCGCTAGTTGCATACGCTTCTTCCATGATCCCAATATCTTGGGATCACGTGTCGCCTTGAAGTCCTCCTTGAACTTCTCATACGTCGGTAGCCAAAGCTTGTTGTGCTGCGTCGGGAAGAAAGACCATGCGACCATGTTCTGCTCCTCCGCTTCGGTCATCTCAAGACATACATACTGACTAGCGTTGCTACCAGCGCTCCCGTCGTGGCTCTGGGTAATGGACAGACGGTTACCAATGCAGGTTTCATCACTGTTTGATCCGTCGGACAGCCAGCCCTGTATCATCGCGACAGATGAGAGCAACGTAACCGCGATGATGAGAAGTTGGACGGCGAGGCAGGCCATGCCTAGCGTGACAGCATGGACACCGAAAGCTAGCCAGCAGATAGCACGGCTAACCAGGTGGAGTTTCTCGGAGGCTGGGCGAGCTTCGGTGAGCAGAATATCTTGCGCGATGCCAGTCGTGGTAATGACAGTCAGACGCTTACCGTTTGGCACGGTGATGAAGAGCT